TCCACTGCAAAAATTGATATGGTAGGGAAAGGGACCTACTGATGCCGTTGTACTGCCACTTCTCGCGGATGTATTCTGGCAATAACAGCAAGATTTTCTGAAAAAAATCCACGGACACTAGAAACATTTACCTCAAACACGACGAGCACATTTTCCAATTCTTTTAGGTTTGTTGGACTGACTAGTGTGAACATTGATGGCATGAAAAAATTCACAATTACCCTTCTGCCGAAGTTCTTGCTCTACGGACCCAAATGAGTCGGTGAAAATGTGAAATATATATGAACGGTTTTCTACAAAGAAATTCTGCAGCTCAGTAGACGGGAGCTGGCCTATGAAAGATACGTTGTCTATCATGATAGGATACTTACCAATCAGAATCCGCAAATGCTTTAATTTCTGAGATGACTCTTTATCAGCCAAAAACTTTCTCTGCGACTTCTCAACGCTGCCCTCACTGGCTTTGTGCCGACGAAACACACGATCCATCTAACCTTGAAAGATCATATGTAACACGCGAGAAGCCGTGAGAAAACACAAGCAGATATGCGCCAAAAGAAACTGTAAGAAGAAACAAGGCAGTTATGTAATAGATGTGATGAATCTATCTGTTCACAAACTTCCCATCGTGAAATACTTGGAGGACAGTCTGTACCAACACACATGTTAAACCTGGCTGAAGCAAACACGTCTAGGAATTTATTGGCAATTTACCACCCATCCTTTTCAAACCACGTATTTCAGAAATGAGCGGGAAAGATAAACTGAAACTAAGGCGTTCACGGTAGCGGTGATGCAATAGATTCGAAACGGAGCGTTAAACACATGTTCGATTACATCTACACTTAATACACTCCAGAAAGGCATTAATACGACTGATGAAGTCCGAGAAGTAGACCTAGCAGGTTGTCTGGTTCATACAGTAGGTCTGAATAAAACTGAGCACAGTAGGTCCCCCGGTTGGACATTTCGATTGCTTTAGATGGAGTGCGACAACACAGATCAAGAAATTCAACAAAGCAAGTGTTATCTTTAATCCCTTTGTGTCTATTTACAGACATCATGCACTCATTTGTTTCTACTTGAACCCGATGGTAGTAGCTGGGTGAATTCAAAGGCAAGTCAGTCGGTGATCAACAGAGCCAGTTTTGTAGAACATAGCTGATCATAGCTTCACTTTGGAAAACAGGGCTATACGTTCTAAAACCGAGGAACTGCATTTTTCTGCCGGATGGCCTCTTCTGATTCCGACAACCGTAAGAACTCATAAGGATTCTGCACACTACAGATCTAAAAGCCCCATACCAACGCATACCAACGTTGACACAGCGCCGCCGGGTCCAAATCCTCCTAAAATGCATAGCCACAATAACTCTGCTGCATGGTTTTCGCATCTTCTAAAAGCAAACTGTGACTACAAGGCTGAGGAGTCTAAACCTAAATCACATATTCGTAAATTAGCCAATCGATGCGACAGATTACATCTTTCTGGGGAGTTCCACCAGTCCCGGTGTACGGCAAAATATGAAATAACTTCTCAATTCGGAAATACATGGACGGCTTCTGACAACTCGAAATCTGTGGTCATCATATTTTTCGTCCGCAGAAGGTGGGATGGACACTGCACTGTGCTTTGTGGGTCAGGGATGTGGCCCTCTGAAGACCTGGAAAGACAGCCAGAAAGCCTGACCAAAAATGTATTCGCTCGGATATGATGAGAACTTTGGATCAGCAACACCAAGGTGAATTAGACTGTGCTCACAGAAAGCAGTTATCCCACCCAAAATAGACGAACTTGTCACCCCCCACAGGCTAGGGTGGTTTGGCCAAGTACAGCGTATCCCAGAAGACAGTCAGCCTCGCCCATTACTTTCCTTCCAGATATGAAGAGGGAGACTGGTGTACGGCCTGGTTACTACTTCCTCCACTAGTGGGCACCTCAAGACGACAGAGAGCAAAAAAGAAACGCATTTACAGTCATCTACCAATCACGCAGCCGGCAGTCAAGCTACGTCAAAGCTGTAATCCCTGATACGTGGGTGGATGCGGTGCATAAACAAGTTCAAGAGATGTTTAAAAATGGCACAATCGAGGAAGCCAACAGTGCGCACAACTCCCATGTTGTGTTTGTAAACAAGGAGAACGGGAATTACCAGTTTTGCGTAGATTTCCGGCGTTTGAATGAACTGACCGTAAATCGGGTTGTAGCCGTCCCTTCGGTTGCGGAGAATTTCGATTTCCTCCAGCATTACCGCTTTTCACGGTGTTCGAATTGCGCTCCGGATATTGGCAACTATCTATTAAGATCCGTGGTTAGAATCCGACCTCTGCCTCTCGACTTCCCCTGTCAAGGCTTGGGCAATCCGGAAGTACCCCAGCCCTTGTGCTTCCTTCTGGTGGTATCGCAGTTAGGCACCAAAAGAGTTCCACAACTGAACGATTCATTTCATTTTTTTATTTCACGGACGGTTACTAGAGCGGAGTCTGTACATATGGTGATCCACTATTCAGGTACTAAAATACATCGCAAAAGTCGCGAACACCCAGCTTATTGGTGTCAGTGACCTAAAGCAGCTATAACGGATTTTGGGTACACGACTCGTAGCTGTATAGATGGATTTCATCTCTGCTTTTACAGATGTGACTGTTATCCATATTGCAGCATTTTCCTTTCTTCAGGAGGATTTGTCCGACAGCTCGCACTTCAGAAGCACAGTTAGATTTACCAACGGCAATGATCCAACTCATGAATTGCTCAACGGAGCGGTGTCCATCCCTCACTTCCCTAAATGTAGTGGTGCTTTGGTCTAAATATGACAACAAACTTTCACCCTAACACGCAGCACGGTTGTCCCCCCATCACTTCTACCTTAGCGTGAGAATCATGCAGCGTGTCATGACAAACTTCTAGCTCATAATCCCCATTGGCAGTAACATCAGATGAGAGGACTGGTGCCTTGTCATTGGAAAAAATGGGGTGGGGAGAGGGGAACTAGGACTAGCCTACCATAAACATCCACCGTACCCACACATCTAACACTAGGTCTATCTGGGCATAAAGTGACAGCACGAACGCCACTGACAAAGGTTAGCCGCTGAATCGTTCACTGTCTCTAGCCAAGTACAAGGTCCCGTGGGTTCCATCCTGGAAAGCGAGCAGAAATCGTTCTTTGTTCCATCCTATCATGTCAGTTTTCCTCCACCTCCATTCTTCCACCACCCCAAATTGGGCACGAAAAACAAGGCTCCTTCCGACATGCGAAGCACATGCCTGAGCCACCTCAGCTTGCAGTGCTGGATGCATTCTTTGGTTCACCAAAAAACCTGTCTCCTGATCACCTTATTTCGAATTAATTGGTTTAAACCAATTCCTGCTATGCTTCTGAGACATCCAAATATGTTTCAGATGCTCCGCCAGAAGTAGCCAAGTCTCAGTCAGAACAGAACAGCCGCACTGTAGTGCGGCTTTGCGCGCACTTTGAGACCCAGCGATGTCTTTTTAGCTGCTGCAATTAGCGTAAAGTAATTCTGGCCATTGCGATTCGTGTGTCGACTTCATCTGTCACATCAAATACAACTTCCGAGGTACGTAAGGCGTTCCGCAACTTCCAGTGTCATCTTTTTACTTCACAGAGGAACATTCAAGGGCCGCACTTCTTCCGGGTACATAATTATCCTCCAGGTGGCTACCCACATCGTCAGTCCCTCCGGATTAGTTAATACTTTGGGCATGTTCATTTTCGGAGACTGGACTTGAAAACTTTTGTATCTCTTCACCTGCACTGACGCTACTGGGTTATAGTCAGAAGACAAGAAGGCGACCAGAGGGAACTGTCCATTAAGGTCGATCCACTGTCATCATCATCATCATCATCATCATCATCATCATCATCA